GTCAGCTTTTTCTGTGGGTTTCCCCATCATGGTCTTGACCTGTTTTCTCATATTATAGTTCCTTCTTCTCTATGACTGGACTCCAGAAGTTTGGTCCAGTGCTTAGCTGTGGTTCTCTGCATCTGCTTCCATCAGTTGCTGGATGAAGGTTCTATGATGACAATTAAGGTAGTCATCAATATATATCTGTGTGTACTGTCATGGGCTTATGTGCATTCTGCATGTCCATGTGTGTGCCTGCATGGGTTTATGTGCACCATGCATAGGTTTATATGAACTGTGCATGTTTGTGGGTGCACTTGTATGGGTTTATATGCACCATGCATGTCTCTGTGTGTACCTATCTAGGTTTACGTGCGCCATGAATGTCCAAGAGCTCACAGACCATAAAAAGGCATTGGACTCCCCAAAATTGTGTGTTACAAAGCAAACCATGTTCTCCCCAAGAGAGTAAGTGCTTTGACTGTCATCTCCAAAGCCTGAGGGCACGCTGCTTGTTACCAGCACTTGGAGCAGGGCCTTCTTCGTTATTTGGTCTTGTGAGATGTCAGTGGCCTTGCTGTCACTAAGTGCCAGAAGACAAGTCATCATGACAGGAAAAAAAAAAATCATTGTGCTTCCCAATGCCCTTGCTTGAGAGCTGCTGGGTCTTCTTCAACCTTTAGACTTGGGGTGAATTTTTAGAGTTCAGTGGAATCTAATTTCACCACCCTATTAAGCTCTGCTTACAGTACTCCTGGGCTATTCTAGCCTACAGAATCTGCTACATTCTTCCTTACAAACAGATCCAAAGGTCGATGAGTCCCATGGTCAGGTTTATCCCAGTAATAACCCCACTCCTGGTACTGTTTTCTATATTATCTGCTCTTCTCAATTCTGTGATTATATACCCGATGAGGAGAAGCTTAAAGGGATTATATTTGTTTGTTTATTTGTTTATTGTTTGTTTTTGAGACAGGGTTTCTCTGTAGCTTTGGAGCATGTCCTGAAACTCACTCTGTAGACCAGGCTGGCCTTGAACTCATGGAGATACCCCTGTCTCTGACTCCCGAGTGCTGGGATTAATGGTGTGTACCACCCTTCCCTGTGGGATTAAGATTTATTTGGGCTCATGATTTGAGGGATACAGTTCACTATGGTGGGAAGACACGGTGACTGGCGACTCTGTGGTGGTAGGAGCTGAAGGTGGTGTGTTTACCTCTCAGCAAACCATGAAACAGGGGGTGGCTTGGAGGTAGGACTGGATTATAGCCTTCAAGGTTTGCTACCAGAAATCTACTTACTCCAGCTGGATCTACCTCCCAAAGGACCAATACCCTCCTTGTGGGTAGCAGTTTACTCTAAATTGAGACAGTCTCTCCAGGAGGGAGGGGATAGTTTATGAAATGCAAGAAGTAGACAAATGGACATGTCTGGGAAAGCTGAAAGTTCTCTGAGGGTGCTTCCCAGTTTCCTATAAAAGCACTGGACAGCTGCCGGAGACGCCTCTACTTAGCCTCCTCGTGAGAGGCGCTCTCCTGGCCTGTTGAGCTGCAGGGACTCAGCTTTTATGAGTTTTCAGTCAGTCTGGGGTGACTTTTCAGGACTACAGCAGCCTTCTCGTCATCCCTACACCTATGATTAACCCCTCACGCAGACTCCTGTTATTAACCTCAAGAAAAACTCATTGCCTCACCGAGCTGGGCTTTGGTGAAGCTGTTTGATCCATCGTGGGTTCCCTATCTGGGATAAGTAGGTGCCCATGTTAGTCTCTCTAGAAAAAGTCTCCTACAACACTTCAAAAACTGCACTTCAAGTTGGGAATTGAATATGCATACATGAGTATGTGTGGATCAAACCATAGCGTGTATGAATTCGCTTTTGTGAGCTATGTGAGGTAGTCAAATTTATAGAAACAGAAAATAGGAAGGTGGTTTCCAGGGACCGAGGAGAAGAGGAAAAGGGTGAGTCATTGTTTAATGAGGGTGGAGTTTCGGATTTTCAAGATGAGAAAGTTCTAGAAATCCTATCATAGGCTCAAGTCTATCAGACTATAAATATACTTAAAAATGGCTGTGATGGTGTTTTACAGATTTTGTACTGAAATGAAAAGAAAGTGTGGTGGAAACAAAGGTGCTTGCTGTGGTTTGGACATGGTTAGTCCAACAGGGCTTTATGTCCTGGAACTTGATTCTCAGTGTGGGGAGTGAAAGTGGTAGGGACCTTTCAAGAGCTGGGAAGCGATGTTTAGATGATTGGGATTCACTGCCCTGAGAGTGCACTGTTGTGGTAGAACAAACCTGACCCCTCGGTGGCTTCCTGGCCTCCTGTTCTGCCATGTAATCTCTCTTTCTTGCCATGATGTCATCCACTATGGTGTGATCCAGCCAAAGAGACTCTCATCAGAGGCTGAATCAATAATACTACCCAATCTTGGATATTTAGTTTCCCAAATTGCAAGATAAATATCCCCACCCACGCCCCTGGTGTGTGTGTGTGTGTGTGTGTGTGTGTGTGTGTGTGTGTGTGTGTATGTGAGAGAGAGAGAGAGAGAGAGAGAGAGAGAGAGAGAGAGAGAAAGAGAGAGTGAGGCAGACAGACAGACAGAGTCTACTATGGTTTTTAATACAACATCTCTCACTGGCCTGGAACTTAACAAGTAGGGTGTGTTTGCCCATGAGCCCCAGGGATCTGCCTGTCTCTGCTTCCTCATGCTATAATTATAAACACACTCCACCACATATGGCTTTTTTTTTTTTAAAAAAAAAAATAGGTTCCTCAAGCTTGCCAGGCAAGCACTTCACTGACTGTGCCATCTGCCCCTCTCCCAGACCTGCTTCTCTGTCCCTGGAGCAGAATGCCCGCCAGTTGTAGCTTCTATCCGTGTGCACTGGAGCTGAGCGCAGAGCCTGCCTCAGACTCCCACTTCTCCATTCCACTCGGACACCTCTGTGTTGTCGAGGTGTTCAGAACGGGCCTCCTAGAGTTTATCCCTTGTGCGACTTCTCTATCTACCGTGTCACTATCAATTTCTAGCCACTGCACTCTCAGTTCGGGACCTGACTCATCTGCTGTCACACCCCCTTCTAAATTAGTCACTGAATCCTCTTTCGTCTCAATCCGTGAGAACTCGAGTCATTCTTAGAGCTTCCCCCCCACTTCCCAGCCTCCCTTATAACCCTGGGTTTCCTATATGACTCTGGAAAAATTATAGCATGCATACACACACACACACACACACACACACACACACATCTCCATGTGTATATGTGGGCATGCATGTGCTATAGTGCATAGAGGTCAGAGAACAATCTAAAGTAGTTGGCTCTCTCCTTCAACCAAGTGGGTTCTGGTGTTCAAACTCAGGTCTTCAGGCTTGGTGGTAATTGCTTTCACCTGATAAGCTACCTCACTGGCCTCCCAGATGAAGTTTTGTGGGAACCATCTATCTGCCACCCTGGGCCAGGTATCAAGTCAGGAATTAGGGAAGATGTAATCTACCATCCTTTTTGCTATTATAATGAAATACTAGAGACAGGCTAGCACTGTAAGGAGACAAAGGCTTCTGAATCTTCTTGTTTCAGGGGCTCCAAGGTGTGTCACTTGTATCAGCTTGTCTCTGGCGAGGGCTCTCTGGTATCAGCTCGGCTCTGGAGAGGGCTCTCTGATATCAGTCTAGTTCTGTGAGGGCTCACTTGGCTGCGTTTCATTGTCATAGCTAGCACCAAAAGGAGCATGATAGGGAAGCGGGTAGACCCCTCATGAGACAGGAAGTCAGAGAACTTGGTGACCAGGCTTCGGTGTTTGGAACCGCCTTCTGTTGAGAATGGGTAGTGAGTAGCGTGAGCAATTCTGTAGCCTAGGCTGGGCTGCAGCTGGGTTGGCATGGTAGTGCATGCTAGAAGATGGAGGAGATCAACACTATCCTCAGCTGCCGAGTGTGCTTTTAAGGCCAAGTTGGGATTAAAAGAAAAGAAAAGAAAAAGTGAAGGAAAGAGAGGAAAAAAAGACCTGAGAGATGGCCCAGCTGGTAGAGGGTGCTTGCTGTCAAGCCTGACAACCTGAGTTTGATTCTAGGAACCCACATGGTAGAAGGAGAGAACTGACTCCCAAAAGTTGTCCAAGAGTGTAAGAAGCACACGTGCGTGCACGCCCCCCCCACCCCCCACAAAATAATGTTTAAAACAACAACAAACAAACAAACAAAAACCCACCCAAATCTCTGAAGACACTCTTCCTCCAGACCAAAACAGTTGATCCCTCATTCTGCTCTTAAAGTTGCTCTGGGCATTTTGTTTGTTTGTTTACTGTTGTTTGGGGACCACTTTTCCTCACCATTTTACTGCATATATGTTCAAGTACATGGAAAGGTGAAAAGCCTTGTACCATGAGCACTCACACACGAACTATCTGCTTCCTTCAACAGACACTTACAGCGACTGTTTCACCATGGGCTTCCCCATCCGAAGTTCAGACCACTGGTATAATCTACTACACTGAGGCACCCACCTCATGTTCTTTTAGTTGTTGTTGAGACAAAGTCTTATATAGACTGAGACTGGCCTTGAACTCTGTAGGAGAGGATGACCTTGGATCTCTGTCTTGTCTCTATCTCATGAATGCTGAGGTTTTAGATGTTCAGTGCCACATCTGGTTTTATGTCATGCTGGGGTTTTGGATACCGAATGACATTGTACGCTCCCAGGGAGAAGTCACTGTCTGGGGGAAAGTGTTACGTTTGAAGTGGAGTGAAGAGCATCCCTGGGCCTTGGCCCAGGTAGCGCCTCTGCTCTCCTCATGGGTGGTTATGTTTGAAGTTCCCTGTGAACATCACCTCGGAGGGCCCTGTGTTCCCCTTTGACAGCTCACTCCCTGAAGCCAGGGAGAATTGGGCCATTGTTTCACAGGGTTTCCTTTAGGCTGATCTGAGGAGTGTGAAAGAACCCATTTAAAGGGGTCTGATGAATAAGGACAAAATAAAGATCAAACTCAGCCACAATCAAAAGCCAGTTGTTAGCAGACAAGTTGTGCTTCAAAAGCCTTTATCGGGAGCAGGGGAGACTTATCTGTGGAGAAAGTGGGCGGATCTGGAAACATTCATTTGAAGTTCTAAGCAGACCCCGGCTGGCCTGGCAGCTGCAGCTTGGACCTATCAGTCAGACTCTGGGAGTTAAGTGGGCAGCTCTGGCAGACGCTAGTCTGTAGAAAAGAACAAGTCACCCAGTAGTAGGTAATGTTTATTGGAGACCTCCAGACCCTCTTGTCTTTTTATCCTCTCCCAGGGTGGGGACACACACGCACACACACACACGCGCGCGCACACGCGCACACACACACACACACACACACACACACACACACACACACACAGAGTAAGAGACTCTCTCACCTTAATCTGGATCTCTGCTACCCGAAGCTTGAGCCTTCTGGTGTCATAGGAACCACGCATAGTCGCTTCCCAGATGATGAACCCATCCTCGAGGCAGAGACTCCAGTAAGCCTCCCCCACTGAGGCCTTTTATTGCCTCCAAGGCTCCTTTCTCTAATGTCTGCTGTTGGTGATGACAGGTGACATTTAGGACTGGGCTATCATATGCCAGGCTGCCAATGTGTTCTTTTTTGATCCTCGCCACACCCTACAGTCTTATTATCCCCGGTTAACACACGTAGGAACTGAGATCCTGAGAGGCTGGTGTAATTCACGTAAGACCTTCCAGCAAATATGCAGAACGGCAGGGAATCGAACCCCTCCTGGCTCGCTACCTCTGAAACCTGGGCTCTGAGTCATTTATCTTCCTGCACTTGCTATAGATCCTGAGGACCGCGTCCCCTTTTCCTTAGGAGATGGGAACTGGGGAACTGGAGACGTAGTTCTGTTGATAGAGTGCTTGCCCTGCACACGGTCCTAGGTTTGATCCGAGGCATTGCATGGTCTGTATTCAGCCATACATCCCAGTAATCCCAGCAGGCGGGAAGTGGAGGAGAAGGATCAGAAGTTCAAGGTCGGGCTGGAAATGTAGTTCAGTAGCTAAAGCACTTGTCTTGGAAGCGTGAGGACTGACTGGAGTTTGGATACCCAGAATCCATGTAGAAGCCGTAACAGCTGGGCAGGCATGGCAGTCACCTGTGAGACAGAGGACGAGCAAGCCAGACCTCTGGGTTCAGTGGAGGACTGTACCTCAGTAAGTAAAGTGAGGATTGACTGAGAGAGACACCAGAAATCAATTTCAGCCCTCTACAAGCATACGCACATGTGTGTGTATAAATCCCCACATGTATGCAACCACACACATGCACATATGCATACCAATACACAGGCAGAAACAAAAACAAAGTTCGAGGCTTTCTATCCTTGGCCACACAATGATTCCAAGGGCAACCTGGACTACATGAGACTTTGTTTCTAAAGAGGGTGGGAATGAAGTATTCTTGCTCCAGATTTCAGTCTTAGATAGAAAGACAGAGACACAGGGAGATTAAAATGGCCCACCTAGAAGTAGTTATAGAACTGGCCATAAGGGAAGGTTTCTTTTATTATTATTATTACATTAATTTATGTCAGAGGACAACCCGCAAGAGTCGGTTCACTTTCCCCACCATGTGGATCTTGGTGATGGAACTTAGGTTGTCAGGCTTGGCGGCACGCACCTACAGCTACTGAGTCATCTCTCTGGCCTGAGCTCTTTTTTTTATTACAAAACAAAAGCTTGAGTAAATACCAGGATATTTAAAATGGGGAGATTGTGGTGGCAGGAACCTAGGAGTCAAAGTTACCCAGGGACAATCTGAGTGGTCCCATGACATGATTCCTGTCGGTCCTCAAGTGTGTTCCAACGCTCTAAGAGCAGACACAGATTATTCCCATCACGAGACTATCTTGTCGGATGGTGCTTAAGCAAAATGTCCCTGTGAGGCCACAGACACCTCGGTTCGTAGAGCGCCTTGCACATATGAGGACTTGATCCATTGCTGACGGCAGGGATGAGAATCCCTGGAGCTTGCTGGGAAGTCAACCGGGCATGCTCCAGGCCAGAGAGGCCTGCCTCAGAAAACAAGGTGAACCATTCACGAAGAAACAAATCCAAAGCTAACACACACACACACACACACACACATACACACACACACACACACACACAAGCACAGAGGTATGCACACATGCACACACACACACAGAGGCATGCATCAACCAGACATGCTCCAGGTCAGAGAGAGCCTGCCTCAGAAAACAAGGTGAACCATTCATGAAGAAACAAATCAAAGCTAATACACACACATACACACAAGCACAGAGGTATGCACACATGCGCGCGCGCACACACACACACACACACACACACACAGAGGCATGCACGTATGCACACATGCACATGCATGCACACACACTTTCCAGGACTCAAGCTCTCCGGCAGTGATTAGACTATAACTCTGTGGTTCTCGATAGCAACTCTCCCTGTAGGAGTCACCTCTGCTTTTGTCTTCACCTTTTTATGCCCCTTTCCATCCTCCATTGGGCTTTGCCCATCAGCCACCTACTGAATTCTCTCCTTTTGCAGAGCCCCTGACCCTCCGAGTCCTCTTGGCCTTGCTGAATGCTGCAGTCATACTAACCTGCTTCAGACTCTTGTCCGAGCCTCCTGAGAACACGGCAGTCTCCTAGACAACCGTTTCCCCTTCACAGGATTCTTTGTCCCGGACTTTGTCTTCAGATTTGCTTCCCCAGCTCCCTGCATTTTCTTCACAGACGACCCAGCATCTCGAATAGAGATATACAGCGCTTGTCTCTTGGATTTGAGGTCTCTGAAGGCTTTGCACTGGACCTTGGAGAAAATCCCAATTTCCTGTTACAGCCTTCAGGGCTCTGCTTGAGTGATCACTGGCCTAGTCCCTTCTTCCTCTTTCTGGGATAGTTTTATTTTTAAACAAGTTGTCTATTAGTGAATTGTTAACTAACCATTTCAAACAAACATATTTAAAATCTAGTAACAATTTTTTTTTCCCCAAACAAGGTCTCACCATGTATCTTTGGCTGTCCCGAAACTCACTATGAAGACCAGGTTTGCCTCAAACTCACAGAGATCCACCTATCTCTGTCTCCCTGGTGCTGGGACCAAAGGTGTGCACCATGGTTGTTGTGATCCAGCTGCCTTCACTCTCCCTGACTGACAGCGGAACTTCCTTGTGGTCTGAAATTGACAAGGATGTTTGTGTTCTTTCTGGCCAGTGGGTCTCCACAGAAGGAGTAGAGGTATAAGAGGTTGCTGGGCAAAATAAAAGGTTGCTGTTCTTCCACCTGAAAAGAAACCTCCGTTTCTCAATCCCGGCACTCCCCGCCAGTCTTGGCTATCCAGGTTGTGCTGGCTGCAGCATACCATGCCCTGCAAAATCTAGTAATTAACATTAAAAAAAAGGTTTATTTATTTGTGTGTGTACATGCACCATACACATGCTTGCGTTGACTGTATTGACCAAAAGAAGGCATTGAATTCCTTGGAGTTGATGTTACAGATGGCAAGCCACCCTGTGTGGGTGTTGGGAACTGAACTTGGATCCTCTAGAAGAGCAGCAAACCCCTTTAATGGCTGAGCCATCTCTTCAGCCCCTAACGAATTAATTTCTTAAAGTCTCTGTCCCATGGGCAGGCTGTCTGCGGCTTACAGCCTTGCACTGGACTGCTTCCTTGCAGATCCCTGTCATCACTAGGTCTCAAGTTAAGCATCACTTCTACAAAGGAGTGGTCTCTGTTCTCATCCTGTGCTTGTGTTTATTTTGTCCTATCTTATCTCTCCCCATTTGTGGATGTTTTTGTGTTCTCCTCAGGTCTGGGAGCCAAGGCATCTGTCTCTTTGGCTTACTACTCTGTCCTCTGTCCTTAGCAAAGTATTTGGGATTAAATAGGGGCTCGGATAAAACTTTTATTGTGTGTGTATGTGCATAAGTGTGTGTAGAAGTCAGAGGCTACCCTTGAGTGTCTTCTTCAGTTATTCTTCATTTTTACTATATATAAACAATAATTAATATATTAACTATGATATACATTGTTTGTTTCCAGGCAGGGAACACTGGTGCATGTGACCCAGCGCCTGTGTGTGGAGATCTGAGGAGAACTTGAGGGAGCTGGTTCTCCCCTTCCACACATAGGTTCGTTCTAGGAATTGAACTCAAGTCATTATGCTTTTCGGTAAGTCCATTTCTATCCATGCAGACATCTTGCTGGCCCCTCCATCCTGTTTATTTGAGCCAGAGTCTCTAACTTTTATCTGGAACTCCTTGATTTCACTAGACTGGGTGGTCAGTGAGCTCAGGTGTTCCCCACCTTAGTCTTCTCAGCACTGAGACTGCAGGCAGGCAGGCAACACCACATCTGGCTTTTTTATGTGGGTCCTAGAGATGAGACGCGGGTCCTAGAGATGAGACGCAGGTCCTCACGCCCACCTGTGTGGAACGCCTTTGCTGGCTGAACCATCTCCAGCACACGCTCAGTTAAAACTTCCTGACTGACAAATCTGGCTAGGAATGAAAGTGGAGATACTGGAAACCTATGTGGCTTTCCTGAGAGCCAGTCTCAGGCTGAGGAAGAACCATAATAGTTACTGGGAAAAGAAGGATGTGTACCTTAATAGATGGTTTCACTGAATGAGCCTCTTGCCTCTGGCCAGGATGCACGGCCCACATTGTAAACCAGCTGGTGCCGGAGAATTGTCTGTATTCTGTCAATCATGTTTTAAATAAATGCTGATTGGCCAGAAAGTATAGGCGGGTCAACCAGACAGGAAGTAGAGGCGGGGTGATGAGAACAAGAGAATGCTGGGAAAGAGGAAGCTCATTCCTCCCAGTCCTGCCCAGATCACAGAAGAAGCAGGATGTGACCAACATAGATAAGAACAATGGGTTAATATGTTACAAGAATTAATAAGAAGCCTGAGCTAATGGGCCAATTAGTTTATAACCTAATATAGACCTCTCTGTGTGATTTCTTTGGGGCTTGCCAGCTGTGGGACCTGGTGGGAGGACAGAAACCCTCAACAAAGCCCAGCCCTCATGTTGCAACCAGCATCTTTGTAGTTTGTGTCTTAAGAATGCCAGTTTTTCTTATGCTAGTTTTCTAATTTCTTCTCAAAACTGTTAATCCAGGGCTTTTGAGATGGCTCAGCAGGTAAAGGCGCTGGCTGCTGTTAAGGCTGCTGGCTTAAGTTATAACTCCAGGACCCACTTAGTAGAAAGAGAAAAATCAACTCTTTTATTTTATTATTTTGGTATCTTCAAGATAGGGTTTCACTACATAGCTCAGGCTGTCCTGGAACTCACTGTGTATACAAGGCTGGCCTCAAACTCACAGAGATCCACCTCCCTCAGCCTCCAGAGTGCTGGGATTAAAGGTGTGCACCACTCCACCTGATTGTGAAAATCAGCTCTTGAAAGTTGTCTTTGGACTTTTGTGTGTGTCATGCAAGTTTGTACCGCACCACAGACATGCTCATACACCAAACAAACATGAAAATTAAAGCAACAAGCAAACAAGAAGTTGTTAATCTAATATAGTATGACTTTGGACAGACCGTTTCTGGGCCATGTTTTCCCCCTCTGTAAAGTGATTTTG